CGTTTAAGTTGTAGCGATAAGTGTTTCAACATCAAAGTAGGACTTTTGTTACAATTGTTAAAAAATTTGTTATTATCATACTTCATTTTAAAAGTCATTATATGACTCAAGCAAAACATGTCATTTAATTTTTGACAAGATATTGTGGTAATTTGAAATTTCCACTTTGTCCATGTTTTATAACTATATGAGGTTTTCTGAGCACTAAAGAGTATTTCTATTTTCTGTATTCTACAGAATGTGAAATGAATAAATTATGTCCAAAATGCTTTGATTAAGATGCAGAGCTTTGATAAAATATTACAGATTTACATTATATTGAATTAAATGATCCCAAAAGGATGCTATGATCTGAATGAATTTTCAATTACTTAAGAGTAGGGATGCAGCTTTGACTGTTGAACAGATACGACATTGGCATGATTCAAAAAGACTTCCAAAACTCAATTTTTAGAGTAGAATTTTTAAACTAGGCTTGAGCAAATGATATTACTCAGACAGAGAGCAATAATCAACAGCTGGTATGATAACAGCTGACCCATTTATTATTAAGCAATGGCTTACAGAAACTTTAAACACACATATTTCTAGTACTTCTAGATGCCTACTAATATATTCTGATGTTTGTATTTGATATCAGACTGATTTCCAATGTCTACATTGGATTGAGACATCCCTACTGTAGAGTATATGTTTCTTCATTTCCAATAATGGTTATTAACTTTGACTGGAATCAGTGTGCTGGGCTTTCTTGTATTATGCATCATTCAGCGAAAGTTTCCAAAGTTATGTCTTAATGATCGCTTGTAGTGGAAAAATCATGTATAGGTAATTACTGTTTTTAGAACTCAATTATCTAGGTAGATTGATTTGTTTTTTCTTCTTCTTTTTTTTTCTTTTTAGAAAAAACAGCTTATGCTCAGCCTTATGCCGTGTTTTGATCAAAGACAGTGCTTAGAGGTAAAGAAAAAAATATATACTTTCTGAATTTGTACCTAAAGCTGCCTTTCCTTCTTTTAAATAAACCATTCAGTCCCTGTGAACCAGCATTCATACTATCAGGAAACAAAGTGAATGATCATAAGTTAAAAAAGGCGTTATGCAATAGTCACGAAGTGAACGGGACAATTGTGTGCAAAACATAAGTATGAGAAATACTTGAGTGAATTGCAAGTGAAGTGGGATGATGAGGCAGATTGAGCATTTGATGGTGCAATTTAAATGTGAGCAAAGTTATTGATGGCTCAATAATGTCGATAAAATCTTCCAGGAGCTACAACCGTGAGTCTGTTTCTCGCATAAATATTCATCACATTTCCCATCATGAGACAGGGGACTAAAATAAAACGTTGTGTCTCTGCTTTAGCTTAAAGGGTGGAAGGTAGGTTGGGTGTTTTTATATGTGCGTCCACACGTATAAGTGCCTAAAGTGCTTATACATCCTCTATTTTTCCGCAGTCACTCTCACATCTAATAAGCTAGATACAGACTGTTCCATATGGATGGCAACTGGATATGATGGTTCTCCGCCTATCAGAATTCAAATATAGGCAGCTGTTTGCTGGTACATCCACAACTTTTGAGAAGCATAGAAAGAAAGATTTGTACAGATATGCACAGACTAGCTATACCACTCTATTGTTATTCTTTAATTTTAGGATTAATGATCTTGTTATGCACATAATTTCCACAAGTGAGTCTCTCATATGAATCTCCTAACTCATCTAATGAAGAGAAATTTGTTTGTCTTTACTCTTGGTTAAAAAATAAAATTAAATTTTTTTTGTTGCTAAATAAAACGGTGCAATATTGATCTGTAGATGTTTGTTGTGAAAACAGGATTTTCTGCAGCATTTAAAAAGTTAAATGACCTTTTTAGACATTTTAAACAACAGTCGTGTAACTATTAGATTTACTGAACATCGTTTCAAAAATATATGACAGCAAAGTTACGTTTAATTGTTTGCAGTAATTACTATATTACATTTTTACCCATGATTATTCTAGATTGCCTAACTCGAGCAACCTTTTAAGGTGAAATAGCGTTTTACACAACATAATCATTTGATGCATGGCAAATCTTTTATTAAAACACAGAGGGAAAGAAAGTGTACCCAAACATACAAACCCCGGGTTTTAGCTAATAGTTAGTTTAGAAAAGTTGAAGCTCAACAAAGCAGAATGACATAGACATGATGTATGTTTTACCTTATGTGAAACATTTTTAGAAAGTTGCATGTATTTGGTAATTTTCTAGATTTATAGACATCTTTTTAGCCAAATGTAAAATTTGGCTGTGCTTGTTGTTCCCATAAACAAACCTTGTTGTATGTATCAGATGGATATATGGTTCTTTTTAATACATATTTTGAATATATATCTATTTGTGCTTTTTATAGTCATGGAAAACTTAACAGATCACCTCATCATTATTTTTCTTATTTTCTATATGTTGTTTATTTTAATTTTCAAGTAACATTTCTTTAGATCCAGAAATTGAGGAAAGCATGTGTGATCTCATACCATTTTGCATGATGGTATCTTCAACAAAGGTTAATTACTATTATACTTGGCAGACAAGTTTTCAGTGCCATTCGTTTTCAAATTAGGGAGGAAATTGAGCGGGATTTTATTTTCATCCTTTTGTCATGGGAAGAGGAAATGGATTTAAAGAGAGGGTTTTTGAAAACTGAGAGGATTATATTTAAAAGCTTCTATATTTTAATGAGTCTTTTGTGTGTCTAAACCTTATGTTGTACTTCTGTTTTTCACTTTGCACTTTTGCGTGACTCTGATGTTCTTAACCTGTTTTCAAAGATTAAAGTGACCCACAAATGCTGATATCATCTTAATTTGAGGGGAAATCCTATATTTTTTATTGATATTTCATTTGAGGTTTAATGTGATTTACCGTCCTAATGGTTTTTTTCTTTACTTCCACGAATGCTCCGCAAATCTCAGTTATCGGGGTGTAAGCAGAGATTTAGTGAAAGATGGAGATAAAAAAAAAAGCAGGTCGGAAGAGATGGGATTTATGCTAACATGCCGGTGAGACTGAAAGGGATTTATATGCGTCTTTGTGATGACTGATGCCATTACATGAGACCCTGCATTGACAGCACATTTCCTTCACATCCTTTGCTTCTGTACCCCTGTTTTCTCTGTCCTGCTCTTTCTATTTACTTTTGGCTGAAGCTCAGACTACTCTGTAAATCCGCTGGGAAATGCTGCTGATTTATTCTAGGCCTATAGCTTCTTCTGTTCTATCTCTTTAGTGTCGTCAACCCCCAGCACCCCTTCTTTTTTTCTCTTTCAAAAAATCAATAGTGTGCTCTGGTAAGCGTGTGCACATTTAATTTATTTCTTGCCCTACATTGTAAGTAAAACTTCATATACATATAGAAAGCATCTGCCCCACTGCTGCGATGGTGTCAGTTTTCCTTGCTTGTACTTCATTATTATTGCTCCCAGTTGTGTTGTTAGTCACACCAACACCATTGGACATCATACTATACACATGGACTTCAAGCTAATAAGGGTCCCCTCTGTCCCAACAATAGAATATACTGGCAGGGCTGCACCAAATCATTACGTCATTCATTATCAGTCAGCACTGAAATGTACTGTAAACAGGTGAAGGGATTCCAGGATTTAGAGTGCCTATAGTTTAGAGGAAATATCCAAGCTCACTATCAAGGTGTTAAAAAAAAAACACAAACAAAAAAACATGTGCACCATTGTGAAAGTGGTGAGGAATGGGATCAGAGAAAAAGCAGAATCAAATAAAAACCAGTTGAAAAACAGACACCAATATATACAAGTAAACAAGTTAAGGTCCGACCTACTCAGATTATATGTGGGGTTCCTCAAGGTTCAATATCAGGCCCAAAGCTATTAATTCTTTATATTATAAATATGATAATGGTGCAGCTTTGTAGCATACTTCAAAGATTTAATCATATATTTAAAATAGTATTATGAACATAAATGTAAAAAAAAAAAATGCTTATAATGACTGCTATGAGTCAACTTGTAAACAAGTAGTCTACTACAATTTTTTTTTATATTCATATATATATATTTTTTTTTTTGGAAATGTTGTTTTGGTCAGTAATATCACAAATACAACCAGTGACAAATGTTTAGGCTCATGCCTAAGCTTATATTTCCTATAATTCTTACAAAATTTGAATTATAAATTCACATAAACTACTCAAAGGAAAACAAAAGAGAAAATAAATGGAAATAAAAAGAATGAACGATAACACAAACAGTAGAGTATTCTTGTTTATCCTTTTTTTATATCAATCTAGCACAACTTTACTAAAGTTGAAAAGGTCGCACAGATTTATTGATTAACATGAAAGCTACTCTAGAACATATCCAACTATTCCACACAAAAAAAATGTATTTTCTGATTTAAAATTCAAACATGCTAAAAGGAAAACAATATAATGGGTTATTATGCAGGTTGGATTTAAACTGCAAGGAGAGACATGCAGAAGTTGCAGTTTGCCTACAAAATGCATTTTGGACATCTGGGTCTTTTCCAGTTGAAAACAAAGAAAGGCCCAAACTACAGGCATAGTTGGAAATCTTAGCATGAGTTTTTAACCAAAGAAATATTTCCGACTCACAGAGTCAGCTGGAAACACAAGACTTTGTCAAAGAATAGTTTCTCAAACCCCCACCCCCCCCCCACCCCATGTGAAAATTTTACACCAAAACAATATTTGCTCACAGTTTTTTATAAAGGAAGCTCATAAACTATATTTGAGTTTGGTTAAACTTGAAGTAACCTGCTTTTGCCACATGTGCAGTATAGAAATCTTGTTTAGTTTTTGTCCTGTTTATCTTGTTTAATATCTTGTTTAACATGTGCATTTACAATGACCAGTTACACATTAACTGCTGTTTACTTTTAAGAATGCCCAAATAAGACCCATAGCGTTATGCATTGTGTTGGTTTATAACAGCAAATATTTCTTCTCTTTCCACAGCAAAGAAGACATGTGCAACCACAGACTTTGCCTGTAAGAATGGACAGTGCCTGCCTGCAAGGTGGCGGTGCGATGGAGAATCAGAGTGTGCAGACGGATCAGATGAGGCCGATGAAATCTGCAGTAAGTTGCAAAGCCGACCAATTGCATGTTAAATAGAACATAACTACATATGTTGATAAGCAGTGCTATAAAAGTAAACACAAATCTAAAAACAGATGGAAGAAATCAGTCGGGGTCATTTAGCATCCACTCTCACATCTGTTAACGTATGTTTTGTGAGTATATGTGTATCCATGTGTTAAACAGAAATCCACGTTTTTTGTTTCTTAAACACATAAAACATCTACTTATCATCCTTAATTTTAGTCTCTCATGGTGTTAGTTGCAAATGTTATTGTTTAACTTTGGTTAACACTTTCATAATATTGAAGGATGTCCATTTCTTGCGTTTGCAGCATTCTATAACCTTTTATTTCTTGTACACTGCATCATCAACTTGCTTTTAACTTGACAGTCATACAGGTCTTTTTATGACCAAAGATATCAGAAAATTTTATAGATTTCTGCTTCTGTTGCATCATGTTAGCACACTGAACATGGAAATCGAAAAGAAGACATTTCTGAGCTGTGAATAAAAGCTTTTAAATGTCAGCTTTTAGGTAGGTTTGCTAAACTACTTTTACTGGGCAAAGGAGCATTGCACAAGTTTCAAAGTTGTTGTTTTTTTGCTTTTTGCCCATACATGCCCTAATAATTGCCTATGTATAGGCAATTATACCAGAGTTGTCTCTATAGGCTCAATTGGTCAGTTAATGACAGAGGGGTTCAGGTCGGGTTCTCTGAGAGTACAAATGGCTGTGATGCACTGTGTGTTCTTAAACACCTACTTTGTTGAGTCTGTACTGCAATTTATGCGTTAGCAAAATAACTTCAATATTTATAACATTTCTGTTGGCAGTCGCACCTGCAGCAGCCGTGTGGGATGCTTTTTCTCCTTTCCCATTTTGACACCTTTTTTTTTTCCCAACTTCTTACTGGTAGGGCAAACTTTAAAGAACAACTCTGGTGCACCATGCTCCTTTAAAGGATATTACAACTCAAGAAGTTCCAGATTATTGCAAAGTGTCAGTTAATTAACATTTTCCTTTAAAAAAAAGTGTAAAGTTTCAGTGAAATGGTGTTTAATATTTTTGGGGAAAACATGAACAGCATTTAGTATCTTTGACTATTCTTGCAAGACATCATAGACCATCGTCTCACTCCTCAGAAAAAGAAGTCTGGTGGGACACTGTTGTACTCCTTAGTACACGTCCAAACTTAGAATTGTAGTTGTACCTTAAACACATTTGCGATTGGAGTGTATATTTTTATTACACTCTGTTTTAACATTTTCCTTTCCCTACAAAGATATGTCCTGATAGGAGTCAGAAATCTGTCTCTCCTCTTTAGTCTTCAAAGCTACATCTCATAGTTCCATTATCCATAACTTATTCCCAAAGAGGTGATCAAAGGGTTGCTTTGAGGATCATTGATGATAAATCTGATTGGCATAGGCTAAGAACATGTGTGGGTTCGCACACGAGCACGTCTTTCATAAAAGCTCAGTGTGCACACTAGCATAAGTGTGGGTGAAACTGTAGTGTACACTTGTAGTTAGTATTCATTGCATGGTTAAAATCTAATTCATTTATCAGACTAGTAGACTTGTGGTTAGGTCTAATTATAACTAATCAAGGTCAACTTCTCTAACTTTTTCCAGACAGTTTGATCATCACAGATTCAGCACTGCATTCTACGTGCATTCATTGGTTAAAACATTTTATTCAATCTAATCATTCAAATTTCGGATACATAAGTTGCTCAGTTTTTCTCAGGATGAAAATTGTAATGAAATCTATTAAAATTTATATTGAAAGCTATGGAAAACACTGAAAACACTTAGTGAAAATATCGCAATGCATCGCAATATTTCAAGTATCATGATGCATCGTGATAGAATCGCATTGTGGCATGTGAATCGTGATTCGAATCAAATCATGACTTTTTTGCCAATACCCATCCCTAGGTGTCATATTACTACAGTACATCACTTTTAGTGATGTTTAAGTTTGCTCAAGTTAGATGGTGCTTTAATGTCAGAACAGACATACCTGATAAAGGGCCCCTCTTGATATCCATCCTATTTCCATCCAAGGATGAGGTTGGTATTCTACTCTCAACTGGCATAAGGTGGAAATGCCATGCCTGTGCATGGCAATCTTGATTCTGTCACTTTGTGTGCCGTTTGTCATCCACTTTCTGATCTAAGTTCAGTTTAAGTAATGCTTTTGATAGAATTGATTGCCCTGGGAGAGAAATCAATGGGCTGATCCCTGAGACTTTTGCTCGATTGCTGATTAACTATGGACCTCCAATGACGACTTTGAACTTCACATGTGCAGATGTAAACCCATCTACACACAAACATGCAAATCTCTCTCTAGCTGTCTGTAAACACACATAGGAACATCTGGGCCTGTAGGGAGTTCTGGAAATAATGATCAATAGGACAAGCAACTGTTGATGCAGGAAAAACTGATCTTTAAACTTTTTTTTTGCAATCACTTAAGGAATTTGGGTGGGCGTTTGTATAAAAAACAAATTTGTCACTGCTCAATATGCTAACAGAAATATTAGATCTGAACTGTTTCATATAAGAACTCATATTCAACATGTTTTCTTGATAATGGCCAAAATTAGATTTATGCTTGATTGTATAACCACTGGTTTTAAAACAAAACCATAATCTAATATGGCTGTGATGATGGATGGGGTTTTAGAATAGAATGGAATAGAACAGAATATAATAGAAAAGTGTTAGTGTATATATATATATATATATATATATATATATATATATATATATATATATATATATATATATATATATATATCAGTGACGTGCGGTGAGGTTCATAGCTGGTGAGGCACTGACGTCATCAGAATCAGATTTGCAAATAGATGCATAGATTGACAGCAGTTTACAGGTTATGTTTCACTTCTGCATCCTTACACATACAAACTGTAGCTCACAAAACACACATTTCCTTAAAAAACAAAACAAAATAAATGTTATTACTGTCTTACTTTTACTTATAAATGAATAGAAGTCCTCCGTATCTTCCTTCAGTTTTAAAAGTCTCTCTGTCTCAATGCAGATCACTGCCAGGGAAGAAAGCCTTCCTTGATCCGTCCTGTTCCTGCTGTATGTTTTCAGTCTCTTGAGCACCCCCTGCCATGAGGCAAGAGAACTGCCTGCCTCACCTCGAACCTGTTCTCTGACGTTTATAATCGCTCATTACACGAAACACGTTACACAAAAACAGTTGGTGACAAAAAGCTCTGTACATTATATACATAAGCTAAATTATTAGAAATAAGTTCACATATTACATTTGTTTAAACCATTTTATTGACGCCGTACAGCAACATGCTCTCTCCGCTTTGCAGCCAGCGCAGAGCCAGGGGTTGCGCAATCCAAGATGAGGCAGAGCTCGCTGCTGCCTCACCGGCATCGCTTCCAAGCATTTGAATGGGAAAATAAGAAAATTCAGCGATTTTGAACAAATAAAAATCGAAATTGGTGAAGCTACATAAAATATGAATATTTTTTAGTACAAACCACTGGATGAATATAACAATTTAAATTACTTTATGATTATATATTTTCTTTCTTTCCATGATGGCTGGTGAGGCACTGCCTCACCTGCCTCCCCTGACCGCACGTCACTGATATATATATATATATATATGAAATTCATAGTGAAATGGACAGTACCTAAGGTAAAAACTGTCAAGTTAAAAAAATATAATAATAAGATTAAATGAAAAAAGTAACAGAAAGACATTAATAGAAAGCAATTAAAGGACAGCTGAAAACTGTCCAAAAAGCAGGTAGAATTGAAATGTTATTTCCCATTCTTCATATTACTGCAATGATTTTCTAGTCAAATTTCGGATATATTCGGCCGTAAAACCTGATATTTACTCAGTAAAGGAACAAGAAGGAGGATGAGTAAACCAGACTCACAAGTGACACGACTGCCGCTGTGGGTAACTGCAGCCACCAGCCAAGCCGACATAGGAGCGCACAGAAACGCTTCACGGAGAGGGTGTTTACAGCACTGCACAGGTGATGCTGTTATGCTCTTTACTACATCAATTTTTAGTTGGCTTTAAGTAGATGTTGGTAATTTGCTGCATGCAGAAGAATCCTAAAAATGTCTACAACAACCTTTTGCTTTTTTATTTTTCAACTACTGAAACGGCCACAAATTTATGGATGAAAGCTGTGTGGGTGTTGAATGCAGCATAAATTGCTTTACATCTGTAGGACTGTCCTGGAAGATTCGGCCCCTGTATCACAGCGTATTATTTAGGGTGGGACCATTGGTTTGGGTTTTTAACGCTTCAAGACACATTAAGGTAAAAAAAAATAAAAATAAAAAAAGTTTAAAAACATTGACAGTGGTGACTTTTTAATCTACCTATAGTTAGAAAAGGGTATAATTAAATTAGTTTTATTGCTACTTCTAGATGCATAAAAGCTGGTGAATCTGAAACAGATCTAACATAGAATTTGTAAACCTTTGTTGATGTGGAGGATATTTTATATTCATGACATAAAGGCCTTGTATCATCTCAGTGAGTTATCTATTCCAGGTCTACTCAAGCATCTCACACTTGGAGGCATGCTGATAAAGGCTGTCTTGAAAAGTCTTTAAACCCATTATGAAAGAAAAAGGGAGGAAAGTATACTAGCGCAAATGAGAATTTTGATGAGTATAGAAGTCAAGTAATCTCAAGTCATTGTTCACGGTTGAGAAGCATCGTCGGATAAAATTGAGAGAACAACAGAATACGCATCCCCTTCGGCTCTGCCATTATGATATGAAAGGAGCTGCATTTTATTTGAGAAAACTGGGGATTTTAAAACATTTAGTTTTTTTGTTTTTTTTTTAATGCATCAAACTAAACTCTGTTTCAAGAACTTGAATTTAACATAATTTGCAATGGAAATGTTACACTCCAACTTGTAATTAAATAGTGTGAATATAATTTACATCTTGATGTGCCCTGAT